GGTAAAGAGTAACGATAAGAAAGGCGATCGTGGAGAGGTGTCCCATGCCTGCTACCACCTTCGCCAGTTTTATTTTATCTTCATCTGCTTTCTCCTGCCAGCCTTCGTTACGAGCTTGGGTGTCGGTCGTCGCTGCCGGCCTGCCCGTCGGCCCGCCAGCAACTGGAATTTTTCGGCATTCCAGGAACATTTGGGCGAGCAAAAAAGTGGCGGACTGGCGAGTAATAGAACAGACGGCTGAACAAGCCGCTAGTTGCCTTCGCCGCTACTAGAACGAGTGCTGCGATTGCGACGCCTCTTTTTCGTTCGTTCTTTTTCCGTCTCTTCAAGCAACCTTTTCTTTTTCCTTAGCTCTGGACTGCTACATCACGCACGTCGGAGGCGTGACTCGTCCCAACGCTGTTGCTGAGAATGGGAATGGTCCAATTGGAGGGGCGAAGGACGTTACGCTTGTTTTCACTTTACTTTCTGTCACTTTTGTTCTCTTTGGCGTCTTTCCCATCGCCGACATTTACTTAAATATAATTTTCGCAATATTTTTTAACTAGATCATTTTTGCAAAAGAGTTCAGCTACGTGGAGAAAGAAGTTAAATTATCTCTGAAGGCTACTCGAAAGCACAATATAACAGCCGCAACTAAGTGCAATAACGAAGCAATAATCGACGGCACCCTTGTAGACTGATGTAGCGAATTTGTAACTCCAGAAAGTTTATATTAAAGCTCTGACAAAAAAAAAAACAGCAATTGTAAAAATGACCTGAAGCCTTAGTTAATTTTTTTGCGTTCACGGTGTTCGCAACGAAGTAAGGCAATGTAGGGCATTTCGTAAGGCACATCAAATGAAATGAATATTAAGAAACACACCTATTTATGTTTATTACCAACAACTAAAACATCAACAAACATCAAATCGTGCTCCATTCACCTGAGCAGCACTTGAGGTATTCACTTACATTAATGCAATAGTCTGTTTCGACTCATGTGGCTACGCGGCAAAACGCATGCACTCTGGTTCTCGTAACGGTGTTCTAAAAGCTTTAAGAGCTGCGCTCGTTGCCGGAAATCGACTAAGGGAAAACCTTCAGTAGTCTGTTTGGAGTAAAAACATAGCGGATAAATGAACGTTTAGTGAGCCGACAGAAATAGGCATGTCTACCACTACGGATACGATCTCTCGTAGCATCGCTGCAAAGCGTCGTTGCTTGTAGCACACTGGTTGTTTCATTCGAGTTCACGAGTGAACTCCTCAGCGCCACGACAAACACATAATGTTCTGCAGCAGATCAGTTGAAGCCTTAGGAATACAGAAGGGTGTTGCGGATTAAATATGATAACCAGTCTAATATAAGCATTCGTCTTCTCCAAAGCTCCAAAATTGCTTATAGTTATTAATAATCAGTTAAGAGTTTACAAAACCAGTGAGCCTGGCAGTTTTATTCTATTTATTTTCATAAACATGATAACATTTGTTATGCACAGTTAATAGACTCGCATCTTACAGCAAGGAACCGGTGTAACATAATATATTGTGCTATCAAGGACAATTGTTCTCGCACAGCATTCAGTGACAGCCTACCACTTAAATACAACAGACCCAGGCCAAAAATTCGCTTTATAAAAACCGAAAAGGCACTGTATTAATTTCTAGGCCATACGATCTGTCATATTGATTTTTTTATGGAGCGCAAGCAACCTCGCATTGAATAATCTTTGAATGAGACAGAAATCAGAACCTTTTCTCATAGGCCGCAAAAGAAAACCAAAAGTACTATTCACTATTAAATGTACATACAACCAAATATAGAGTTCTATTTTATAATGTTTTATAACGAACTCCATGAAAGCTGCAAGTCATCATTACCAAAAATTTACATAAGCATCTCACTAATAGGAGGCATGTGCGCTTATTGACATTTTCAAATAGCATCAAGTGCTTAAAATTTACTTGGTTACTTGGTTAATATCCAGTTATTCTTTATATATTCACTATATAGTTTGTGCATATTCAAAACAACAGTGCAGCTATGTTTAATCAGAAATAATTATTTGCATCATAACATAAAGTTTTAATTGCGTTATATAAATATGCCGAATTCTCTTTTAGCCCAGATGACTATAGTGCGTAAGGCCATTATAGTGTTTCTCTTTTAGAGAACCACACTTTGTCTTACTGAACAGCGTCTATCAACTACGCGACTCATTTGTAATCAACGATCGGGTAGTTATAAAATATATACACAAACAAACACTAATGATATTTCGACGTTGTTGAGTGATGAGTAGGTCCCAAATAGAAGTCGCTTTCAGTTTTCTATTTAGATAGCAAACATTCACACCGTTCGCACAACATAAAATAGAATTTATTATAGCTTATTCTGTGGGTGCGTACTACCATTATATCACTGCACGTTGGTCAAAAAGTCACAACGTTCTTTTCTGTTATCAAGCGAGACGCGTTCACTCGAATTCTATCACACAAATCTATGTATTATGTATAAGCTGCCTCTCTTTCCCTACGATCTTCTGCCGGCTCTCAACTGATTTAATTATTCCGTGTCGCTAGGAGCTTTCGAGTTTGATGTTTAGTAACTCATCCAAAGAGTGTTTGGAATCCTCTCAGCTATCAAGTGTAACCGCTACGAATATCATTTGTCAGAGACCGAGACGGGAACCGTCAGCGGAAACCTGAAGTCTCCGGAATATCATGGGTGTATCAAGTTCTTAGAATGAAGCGGGTATAATGGCCTTTGCCATTCATGATCTGGCATCGTAGCGAAGAAGTATGACTTTGCCTTATCCATCGAGTTCTTAATGTTTCCTTATTCAGTCTCTTCATATGGGCCATACACAGGCTCTTGTCAACTATCTTTTTTCTTAAGCATTTCTTGGTCTAGAAAACCTTTCCAGTAGGGGACAATGAGAAGCCGCATCTTCGATAGCTCTTTACTTCATTTTTAGGCTACCCAAACTGTCAATTCTGCAGTAAACCCTGTTGAATGAAGAAGGATGCTAATAGCCATATAGTTCATCAGCTCGGTAACTTCGCGAATTGCTTGCCCATTGTTTTCTTTCAATGGCACCTTTGGATGACCTTTTTCGATAGCAGACGACTAACCGGGATGAGATGCATTCCCTAACCAAGATATCATTTTCGAAATGAACAAAGTAGCTTTGAGCGGTTTTTCAGGCGTAAGATCCGCAGCGCACACGGCACACGAAGCTGCATCAGTAACTTTTGACTTTGTCAGTAGCATAAACGTTGAGAATGCACTTCCTGAACCTGAAATATCAAACTCTAGAATTTACACTCAGGATGAAAATGCAGCGGGCTCAAAAAGAAAGAAAATATTTTCAAATGTTATGAACGAACACGCATTGTTAATGCAAATAAGAAAGCAAACATCTGAAAAAACGCCATTATTCTTTGACCAAGCTAATTTTTCTATAAAATACTTTCGGAAGCCATCGAAAATGGTCTCCGCTTTAACACATAGAAGCAGACACATATTTATTGATTTTGATCTATACTTCTATCATACGTTTTCAACAAAAGCCATATTAAGCATTGAACAATGTGGGCGATCTAATTTCTTTTCGTAGCTTGTAGTAACGCAAAGCTTTCGGATCGGATCCCATCGAACTTTATAAGATCTCAAGTCAAGGTTTTATTTGTTTTTATTCATTTTTTATTTTTTTACTTTTTAGGTTTTATAATCATTTGAAAATATGTTTATTATTTCAAATTCTATAACCAGTTACATACAGCTGAATATCCCTGTGGTCGACTCCACCTATTTTCAAGTACGGCACTATTCTCAACATGAATTGGAAAACTGTGAAGTGAAACCGCTAACGAAAGATGTGTAGTTTTGTAATTAGTTGAGGTAAAGACGTATATTTAAGTAACAATGTACTTATATATTCGCTGAAGCTATTATGGCATGCAAAACTTTGTAGCAAAACGTTACAACTTTTATTCAGACATTATTGGATTTTAAAATTATCCCGGTTTCCATAAATTCACTGAACCGCTTCTGATTTGCACTTGACTCGCAAACGCAAAAACAGTCCGTACGATGAAAAATGTTAATACGTCCATAAGCAGTCATTCAGTCATTAACAGTTCAAAAACAGGTAAAAATTGTGTACTTTCAGTCAACGTCTTTTTATTAGGTATCTAATCATGCAGATAGTAAGAATGAACTTTTCGTGGTATGTACCAATTGTTTCGTTTATGCAGATTATCTTAAATAGAAATGCACATGACGTACCCAGTAACGCAAATAAATATACTAGAAAGTTATGGATTCAAACATGAAATTGGCTAAACGTCTATGAAAGACAAAGCGATAAGATTGCTCAAAACGATAAATAATTACTACGAAACAATAACCAATAGCACAGTAGTGTATTGTCCAAAAAGTATTGGGACGTAGCTACCTGACAATTGTAATGCCAACCACTTTTAGTATGCGAGTATAAACAAACATACTTGAGACTGTAGAGGGAGTGAAGTTTGCAACAACAAATTTAATTTATCTACCAGTTTATCATCTTCGCTCCACTATAAATAAGCGGCAAGCGATTTAGACTCAACTTTCGTGTCAAAAGTAGTTGTCATTATCACTAGCTTCAACATTTTGAGATAGCTATATACCATTTTCACCTGCCGCATGTACACTAGTGGAGCCGTAAATAACGTGCTTCTCCAAAAGTTTTCGCGCCCGTACCATAGTATCACAAATCGAACCACGTCGATTGAAGTTTTTTAAAGCAATATTGACGCGCTTCAACTCTATTCGAAAAAAACGCCGCACTTAAAACGCGATGAATCATACATTTAAGACAAATCAAATGTTATATCAAAACTCACTATAAAGAAATTCATCATCGTACACACCATACAGAAGGCATTAAATAGAAACACGCACGAAACCGGTGTCCGCTAAATATAGCGGAACTTGACTAGGTATGTGTTTACAAACTTTGCAAGCCGAATTCGGAGCGCCGTCGAGAAAAAATTGTGAATTTTTAGTAATTATTTAAAAGTTCTTTCACGATTCTATGCTAATAAGGAGACTTCCTATGCTCCCTCCTAACTCCAGGTATAAATATCTAATAGGGTTGAAACGGGTTTCATAGATAGTTTACCATACCGCCATTATAGAAAAAGTGGTCAGCTACTAGTTGCAAAACTGCACAATTTTCTTTGTTAAAAATATATAAAAATCCAATTATGTAAGAAGTATTACCGCTAAGAATTGCTTACATCCCTTAACGTACTTAATAAATTTGGTTTTCCGTTTCTTGTTTTTTAGTTGTCATTTTTAGTGCAAAATATGTAAAGCAATCGCAGTTGTGGTGTTCTAAATTTTATAAAGTTGTATTTAAGTATTACCTATCCAAATCGACAAAATCTACTTACGTTAGTACAAGAACTTTACAAGCTTCAATATATAGCAAATTTCTGGACAGTATTGTTAAAAAGATGCAAATTAAACTATTGCTTGTTCGATATTGTTGTTTCCTAGTTTACTGTCAGATTGTTTACCATACTTTAATTTCAATTATTAATGAGATGATATGGTGCGGAAATGTGTACATTTTTTATTTCAGCCTATTGTGATATTATAACTGTGTACGTAGATTATTGAAATTGAAAACAACTAGCTAATTAAAATGCCGACAAGCTCACCAGCGGCGACAGATCTAACGGAAGGATGTCGTGTGCCAGTAAATATGGTCGGCGCAGAGTGGCCTATTGCAGAGGTATGTGAACCTTTCGTGAATTTCAAAATTTGTATTTATCTTTAATGTTATTGAATCTTTACTAGCGAACAATGAAAGAGGCGCACCTCTTCCTGTTACTTCCCAAACTTTCAGCAAAGCAACCTAAACGACAATCTCACTAGGAATCGATCCGCATATTATTTAGCGTTATTTAATCTTGGTATATCAATTTTGTACTGTATTAAATGGCGCCGAATGTGTGTCAAATATACACAATATTTACATCATAATAAAAACAAAGGTGTATAACTATATGTAAGTGTTAAGTATTATTTTACTTAAGCAGCCGTTTCAGGGTTCATGCATCAACTTGCAAACCACAAAGCTTTCAATAACCATTTTACACAAAACAGGCAAAACTGCTAAGATTCCAGATCGGACCTACTAATGTAGCTCCCAAGTTTGCAGCAGTTTTTTTTTCAAGAAACTTTGTAGAAAGTTTAGCGGCTTAAAGTTGTACAACTTCCCAAGGATTCACAGCATGTATACAATTGTATGAGTATCAAACTTCTTCAATACAGTCAAGGTTTCGAATGAGATATGACAAGTGGCACCATCTCGTGGGAATTCCAAATTGTTGAGATCGAACTTATTAGGTTTCGGCTTCAGAAAACCTGTCAATATGTTTCTGCAAGGATAGCGATAGCAGTTGAATAAAAAAAAAACAGCAAGATGATCTGTACTGTCCACTACTATATGGTTACTTTAGCTTTATGAATACCTTTTTTAAAATTTACTGAAAAACGGCAACAAATTAGAACGGGAATTAGAATTGCTATTTAAACAAACGGTCCAACACCAAAATTGAGTAATGAATACTGCTTTATTGATAATCCTAAATTAATAATACTGCTATATAATAAAAATATGTATTCGCATATTATTTTTACTATACCACTGATATTTGTTATACGTCTGCATTTCCTTCTTAAAGAGATGCTTTGTTGCTTTGCTATACGCTGTTCTTTTTTTTCCATGACGAATTTTGATTGTAAAGCCATTTTAAGGGTTAGTTTCATTTAAGAATTTCTTATCGGCATTTACAATTGCTTTAATTATTTTCTCAAGGTTTCCACTCTGCTCTGCAATGTTAATGAATGTGTCGGTGACGGCGTAAATATTTCAAAGTGTCGCATCTATATACAATCTTTTGCGTTGTAGTTTCGTTCTTAGGTTATCTCTTCAAAATTAAGCAGTGCGAATATAGGCTTCCACCACAATTTCAAAGCTGTTTATAGCACTATGCTCTGAACTTCGCTTGTTCATTACTAAGCATGTTATTAACCCGGTGCCAAAATACGCTAAGGTAACTCTGAACGGCTGTATAAAGAGAAGTAAATACAAAAAAAGAGGACTTTTTAGAGTAATCCTTCGACTATCAGTCATAATATAGACAATAACCTTCGCATATTATGACTAATTATTGAAATTAACTAAATATTCATAATAAAATATTTTACAAGAATTAATTTTATAGCCATAAATTTCCATTCTAGATTTTTTCGACAGCAATCATAGTCCTCAGCAGACACTCACTTAATTGTTTTCCATTTGGTCTGTTTTTTAGTTTAGAAGGATCGCTGTGCTTGGCCTAGGGATCGCTATCTGGTGAATTAAATCTATTTGTCTTAACAAAAATTATTATTCCGTACGTTGTATCTAACCAGCAAACACCGTTTAATGCTGTTATCATTTCCAGGTGCTATCGACCCGACGGGATGAATCAAACGGAGGCTCAACTTTATATTATGTTCACTTTGTAGGGTATAACAAACGGCTTGATGAATGGGTAACCACGGATCGGATAGATTTCTCACGCATCTCCTTACCGAAGGCGAAAAGTGCAAGTGGCGGGGGAGCCAGCAGTAATAATAACGCTAGTAAATCGCATCATCACCACCACCATGATTCTTCGGTAAGTCTATATGCGTGTATATCAACGAAGTGACGAGTGAAGGTGTACTTAAAGAACTTATGTAAAGCGTTTTATTTTGCCTTAGACCTTAATACGTAACGTCACGTTCCTTGGAGTCAATCTAGACTTTGCCAGACATTTTTTTATTTGCACGTTATTTGTCGGGTGTGGTCCACTGTTTATTAACCGTAATTAGCTTTAGTTGGTTTCTATAGAGTTTCGTAGAGGGTGATATAATTGAGCAGATTTTTTTTTGCATAAATCCATGTGACACCCAAACCTTAGGCTTTCAAATGGTTTAAAACTGCTTAGTTCCTTGTCGACATTATGACTACTTACCTGTTTGTCTTGTTGTCTCTCGCAATAGATTCAACATAGATTTTCCGTAATCGATGGATTACTATGAGAGCATGTTTCACATCAATATTTTCAAAACGAAAGTGACAGATTCATCTTTGGGTCATCGCTTCTGATAATGCATTTCGGATCTAAGCAGCATTTGTGCTTTAAATTATGAAATATGGCAAGTTTTTGCGGAACGTCCACTCGTTTTCAAGGCGCTCTGTCCTAAATACGAATAAAAATATTCCAACAATTTTAGCAACAAATCTGCTAACGCCAAATCTTAGCTTCCAAATAACACCAATGCCGACTCATCTTACTTGAGGCATATGGCATAAAAGTTACATAGCTAGAAAAACAATTAATCATTTTTTGACAACCCTATATATATACCAACGTTACGCACATTAGAATATATAAGATCCGCTACGAACAATATCTCTCGCTTATTATGGTTAATAATAAGTGTGATAATTTTCGACCAATCAAATCATTTAACCAAAAAAAAATGATCGTGAGTTCCTTGTATTTAGATTTAAGTGAGCGGTTTCACTGTGATGTTGAAAATCCTTACATAAAATACGGACTGTATGTCAGTGTCTATGGAAATTTAGTTTAATTGATTTATTATATTCATACCTCATATAAAATTGCTAACTCTCTGGGTTTCATATCACATGCATCGATCAGTTTATAAGGCTTGATATTAATAAACATAAAGCACTACAATAGCAGTCAGCGTAAAGTACTACTTAGTCAACAATCTCATACGTTTTTAGAGTGCTTACAAAGTCTTTTTCACACCTTAACTTAAACCGCTACGAATTCCTTCGAACCTAAGTTGTTACTGTCGTTTTTTTTATTATTCTTTATTTTAGGGTTCCTTGTTATCATCCGGAGGTAATACATTGGGCACTGCGGCCATCTCTCGACCTTCAAGTCCCGACCTCTCAGCGCTCAGTGCGCCAGCAACTCCAGAAAGCTGGCCGGGAGGCACGCCAGGCAATGCAGCGAGTACACCGACGACCAAGGAAAATGGTCTTATTGCGCAAAAAGGCAGTAACCGTAAAAGACCCATTAAAATGGACGAAGATTCACAGGTCTGTAGTAAACTTGTACGCCGGTAGTCTAAAACAATTAACGCTTTTTATTTGAACAGTTATTTACTTGTGTGCCAGCATGGCGACATTAATGTGCTGATGCAAACGAGATTAATAAATTATTATAATTCGGCTTAACTTTTGATTCTTTAAATTAATTTAAGCTTTATTATTGTCCTCAAAACTCGATCATGACAATAGTTGATTGATAGTAGTCGATTGATAATTTTGTTTAGATGGTGATTACTCTCTAGACTGTGTCTTCAGTTGCTGCCTTCCGTGGGGCCAATGCTAACTTCGATATCTGTGCGGATAATCTATAATTATTATTATTTATTTGTGTAATTTATGATATTTGTTTCCCTCTTTTTTGTGTAGGATGGTCCTGCTTCCAAACAACAAACGGCAGGCACAGCACCGGCTCGACCGTCCGGATCCGGATCGTTGGTAGCTCACAACGATAGTGATATTATCACAAGAATGAAGAATATCGATATGATCGAGCTCGGAAAATATCGAATACGACCTTGGTAAGATTCACACAATTGATTTAAGCATCGCAGAGACCATGACACTAGGGTTTAAAATCTTAGGATTCGAGGATTTCGGTTTTTGTGTCAACGTTTTTCTTCATTAAGACAAACAAAAGCTACATGCTATTATGACTTTTTGGATAACACGCTCGATTTTCGGAATTTACTCAATCGCTATAGTAAAACCTAAAATATTGTTATGTTAGGCTTACTATAAATGAATCGTTAGACTAACGGGACATGCAAAGTCTGAGCATAAAGGCAGCGGTCTATTAGTCATTTTGTCGACTGAATTAATCGCAAATTGCTCTTTTATTGATTTCTTGTTGTTTCCAGGTATTTCAGCCCTTATCCACAAGAGCTGGTGAATGGCTGCATCTACCTATGTGAATTTTGTCTGAAGTTTCTCAAATCACGGAAGTGCCTTCAACGACATTTGCAGAAGTGCACATTGCGCCATCCACCTGGTAATGAAATTTACCGCAAAGGGTCATTATCTTTTTTCGAGATTGACGGCCGCAAGAATAAGACATACGCTCAGAATCTCTGTCTACTTGCTAAGTGCTTTCTCGATCATAAGACGCTCTATTACGACACGGAGCCATTTTTGTTTTATGTAATGACTGAACAGGACGCAAAAGGATTCCATATTGTCGGCTACTTCTCGAAGGAGAAGGAGTCAGCGGAAGACTACAACGTCGCTTGTATACTAACGCTGCCCTCCTACCAGAGAAGGGGCTATGGCAAGTTGTTGATCGAGTTCTCCTATGAACTCAGTAAATTCGAGGGTAAGACGGGCTCACCCGAAAAACCACTTTCTGATCTCGGACTACTGTCATACAGAAGTTATTGGGCTGAGGCAATACTTGAGATTCTTATAAATATGAAAAGTAACGAAAACTGTGACGATCGTCCATCGATCACTATCAACGAAATCTGTGAAATGACATCAATTAAAAAGGAGGACGTCATTTCCACGTTGACTTATCTTAATCTTATCAACTACTATAAAGGCCAGTATATCATCACGCTAGGCCGAGATGTACTCGACACGTACGAGCGGGCTGCAAGTAAACGGAAAGTTCGAATCGACCACAAGTGTTTACATTGGGTGCCGAAGGATTGGACAAAACGTGGTCGGTAGCAGCGCTTCAATGCGTGGCAGCGCTTTGTATTATTCTTTCGTCTGCTTTACTATTAAGATTATTGTTATTAATGCCATTATTATTATTATTATTCTTATTATAAGTTAGCGTTCTTTTAGCTCTGATCGTGGCGAACGGACAGAGTAGGCGTGGGCACCTTACATCACGCTGTTTCTGCCGACAGCCCCAGCCATTGCATGCATCGTACTGAGCAGTCGGTATGCATGCTATTGTTATTATTAGTACTATCGAAGTCACAGATGAATTATCGATGGATTCGTATAATTGTTATTTTCCGCCCACCGTATCGTTTAGAGGGTTCTTGGGGAAAAAGATGTACACACCAACATGCACAAACACAAAGCAAATGCATACAGAGTCCAAATAAAGTAAGAAGATAAAGTTCATGTTTAAAATCAGTTTTTACACGACCACACTGTATGAATTAATTAATCATCAGTTTGGAAGTCCAGTTTTCACTGATTGGAGACCGGCTATACTGCTTGTATGTAATCATAAATAAATACATGTAGAAAGAAGCAAGTAACGAAAGAGGAAGGGGAAGTATATATTCATATATACAGTACGATAATGATAGAGCGTAATTGGGAAAGGGGCGCTTGACGAAGTGACGCAGTAGAAACAGCTCGTACTATGTATGCTGTCAACGGTCTCCGTACTGCTCATATATATATATATATAAAAACGTGCGAGGCGAACCAAAGGTTTCTGTATAGATGAAAAACGGTTAGATTAACACTTTATAATGGAAAATATATTAATAATTATCGCGTATTTTCATCCTGTCAGGAAGTTTTGGTTCATCCAGTGGGCAGTGGTGTCATCTGGTAGTTGACGCGGGTAGACGCGTAATATTTCTTCTCGATAAAGATGCAGGTAGCCACCAAGCAGCTTTTCAATAGCCCTCCCCAAAACGTTCTGTCGTGGCTTGTTATAGGTTTTAAGCTTTGTACAAATAAGTATAAAAAAGCATGGTAAGCCTGAGTGTAAATAAATTGTGAATTTTCATGCGCAGATGATTCGTATTTGTCCTGATTTTTTTGAGCTCAGTAGTGCTACTGATAAATTCTGACTCAAGTAACGTAAGTCAACTTTAGTAAAATAGAGATTCTTTTGTGCACTGTCAGTGAATTCTAAAATAAAAACCGAATGATACTGTATGCTTTTAAACAGTGTGAATTACGATGTTAGTCCACAATGCATATTCGAATGGTTTATAATTTTAATTCATTTTTCGAAATTGGGCACAAGAATGATGTTTGTTTTGAGCTATTTTGTCAGTATGTAAAGAGAAGGGCGCGTTGAACATAAGTAATAGTTTTAAATCCTTTGCTTCTATATACCAATGAAATTCCCGAGCGATCATTATTACCACTACATTTGTCAAGGTCGAAACATTTAATGTAAATAAAATGAGCTGAGAAGTTATTTTTCTGCTTATTTTCATTAAACCGACCATATTAAGTTAGGAAGTGTACAGATTCCCAAAAGATATTATTTACAATATTACTACAATACAGTACAATAAAGGTATTACTAGTTAAAAATATGAAAACAATTTAAAACATAAAGAAAGATGAAAAGAAAGTGATTTGCGCAGCAACATTGATTTCGACTATCGAGGTTATATCGGCGGCATGCTTCCCATAATGCATCCATGCTTTTGAGGATGAGGGATGCGCTTGGCTGTTATAAACAACTACTAAAAAGAAAATTTTTTTTTCGGCTTAAGTGGAGTTGGGCCGTCCAGATCAGCACATATATATATATATATATATATATATATATATATATATATATATATATATAGTTAATACGTTCGGCGTCAAACAGATAGACATCTATTTGCCCTAACTTAACTTTGCCGTCTTAAGTAAGGTGCTCAGTGATGGTTTCAATATTCAGCATGATTCATATAAAAAAGCTTTTAAATGCAAACCTCTTCCCTACATACACCATATCAGATTGTCACAGGACTTTTAAATAAATATTTTCTATTTTTGCGATTTATTCAGTTCACCTTCGTTTGTGTTTGCACAAACCAGTAACTTTAGTTCATTCAAGCTTTCATTTATTACTATCATCTCTAAAATTAACGCTTGTTATTCCTTTCGCGGTATTTAACACGATCCATTAGAATAACAAACAGTTATGGTATTGTTTCATTTTTAAGCGGTTTTATGCTTTACATTGCTGTTTTGAGCGTCAATGTGCTCACAAGCTTGTATCTGTCTCGCTCTAGTTTACTACGCGTTTCTAAATCGTTTACCTATGGGCTTTAACGACACAGATGATCGGTGTCGTCATACCAGATACTAAACATTTAAAATCACCAAAGATGTTAAGGGTGGTTTGGTACAAGTGATAGAGCCTCGCTCTGATCGGGCCATGGCTAGGTATTACTAATTATAAAAAATAGTTCTTGATGTGATTTAAGGTATCTCGATACTTATTCAATACCGCCCCTGTTTTGCATGCTGTTAGAATCTGGCGCGTGTCCCTTGTTGTTAGTACATCTCACCTACATGTGTCTCATTTAATTGCGTGGGTTGAGCTAGTTCTTTTATCTGTACACTTCTGGTGTTTCATTGGCGCATTTCACTGCAGTGCGGGTTCTCCGGTTCATGTATAAACTTCTCATCATGTACTTTTTCATCGCTTTGGCGTATTCCGAATATCGTTCTTGCTCCTAACGTTCTTCAGACGCGCCGAAGAACCGTTGCAACAACTTTCCTCGCAGCTTTGTCATTTAGTGCAACAGAACGCGGACTGGATTCAAGTCAGCCCAAAGGAGCATTTCAACTGCTTCGGAGCTTTATTCGCAAGCTTAGATTTTGAATGTGGCTCTAGAATAATGTCCATGTTAGCCTCGGGTTCAAAAGATTTGTTGTAAGCCAACGACTACAGACAGGGATGCTTTTCGGCAGCTTTCCACTCCTTAAATAAAAAAATTTGTTGAGCCAATATTCTTCCGGCTGCCGATGTACTGTCTGGCCGCAACGCTCTCAATAAGAAGCTTGCTATCGTTGCTTCAGTCCCTTCCGTCACTTTTTCGCGTATGCTGTGTTGCCTAAAACAAATAAAAAAAAAAAAAGACGACATAGGGCAGTTTAGCATGCTAGTAAAAGCAATTGTTGAAGAAAAGTGTAGTCGTTGGGTTTCCCATGCTTCGCCTCTCTCCTTAGTCTATAGCTAAGTTCTGTTTACGCTGCCACCTTGTTGGCTAAAGAATAGGTCTATCCGCGTACCGCATTTGTTTAGGTTATCCAGTTAGTTTAACACGAATTGAAGCTCGTAAAATAGGCGTTGTTGTATCTTCTATTGCGATGGGAACGATGTCTGTGTGCTATATAATTCGTCTTGATAATATCGCGAGTGGTAGCGTGCTAGTCTCTAGTGTCCTCCTGCGCTTGCTTAAATGTAGAAATTGCCCATAGTCAGATTCCATCTTCCTTGCTGTAAACATCGTAACATCAGTGGTGGCGACTTTGGCTGTAGATACTGAGTCCTTCTAAGCATGACACAAGAAGTATATTATGTCAAATTCAAGGAAGAGAAGCTAAGTATCTCAGACTCAAAACATTTGAAGGCATATTTATAAAACCAATCGTACTTTCTCAAATCAGTTACTTATGAGGCATCTGTCACATACGATACCTTACGACCCGGTTTCTGTCGTAACTGAGCTATATCGCATGTTTGCTGAATACATTATTTCATCAGAAACATTTTTGCTGAATGTTGCCTTATAAAACATAGACAGATTTGTATTTTGTGAAACTACCACAAACTATTAATGTGAGTTTAAAGGTTGGCTAATAAGTACTTACATGAGAAGCCAATACATACAAAAGACGAAACTTCCAACAAGAATAATCTTGACTAGATAGGATATTACTTGCACAGACACAGACATACTTTTTTTATAAATATATATACGTCATATTATTATTTTCTACGTAACTGTTTTTAACGAAATATTCTGTCATATGGGTTGGTTTTATTGCAAAGATATTTAGCAAAGGATAAACGCTTTTTGTTGTTGATAACAGGGGCTTTCAGTGCTGGTTTGCATAATCGTATGCGTCTGAAGTACGTAGGCCGTGAAGTATGGTTGTGGCACAAAGAAGATATTTTCCTTTCGATTCAGGGTAATATTGGCTCAACGGAAAATTATTGGCTTTTATTCTTGTTATGTAGCTTTAAAGTCATATATCTCTAATAATCTGGGTCGTGACCGACGTTAATTTTACTTGATTTGACAGTAATAGATGTATCGCTAAAATTCTTGGAATGCCTTTATTCAGAGTAAAATAGAGCTTTTCGAAAATGAGTGAAATTACAGTAAAAAATTGGTGTATTTTACAATTTCACGACGAAAATGGCACAAATGCTGTTCAGGCCCATAAAAAAAGGTTGTGTCGTTCATGGTCGATACGCATTATTGGAGAAAAAGAGCTCAAAGTAGGTTCTGTCGTTTTCCTTCTAGAGATTTCAAGACGAAAGATGTTCGTCGTAGTGATCGATAAGTTACGGAGAAAGATGATGAATGTATCATATATTTCTTTTTACGCAAGAGAATTTACTGGATTGTATTTCACTTTACGGAACTCTACCGGAACGCAAAGAAATTGAATCATTTTTAAAGTACTGATCACACTTGGGAAAAAGTGGACCATATGCGACGGTAATGTGCAAAAAAAATGGGGCACCCCACAATGTGTGGCAAAGCTCAGACTGACATTGTGCACTATGACTCGCTGCTAGCCGAAAAAACGATTGACTTCTACTATCAACAAACAGCTCTCAAGAGTAGAACAAGCCATTGAAAAAACTCATCCGTACTAGTGAACAAAAAAGGCCTCACCTATCGGCATGACACTGCCAGGCCACACACATACCCCTCAGCTAGCCGGCAAAGTTAAGAGAACTTGGATGGAAAATACTAAAGGCTTCTGTTGCGTAGCGCGGATTTTGCCCTAGTAGAGTATTTCGGCTATTGCAGAGCTCTCTCAGTGACACTCATTTAATTTCAATGAAGGAATGAAAAATCGTTTGTCACAATTTCTCACTTTAAAGTCATAGAAGTTCTACAGGGATGGGGCTATGGGGCTACAAAAAAATCGCAGACTGTGATCGATTAAAATGGCGCGCATTTCGTTTAGTTTTATTATTTTATCATATAAAAATTGCTTTAAATTTGGCTTAAAAAGGGTCAACACTTTTTCATTAACTCAATATTTTGTGATATTTTTATATAATTATAGGTTCCCCGTCAAAGTATTAAATTAATTCTCTCCAAAACCGAACATAAGGACACTCTTTTGGTGTTTAGGCAACAAAGTTTTTTTACCAATAGTCGATAGCGGAATTATAAAAATGGCAGCTGTTTGCTAGCATGGATTTGTGTAATTTAATTGTAACACGTTCTAGCCTTTGTTAGTTCCCACGGCTGTAATCCGTTCTACTGTAATATGGTTAGGGGCCGCAAGCAACACAGGCGCGATGTACTGTAAACAGGGATATAAAATCGTTTAGTCACACTTTTGTCAGGCGCGTACACAAGTTGAACAGCAGACGATAATATAATATAAAATAAAACTGTGGATATAACAGCATGAATCCTAGAAAGAAAGTTCCGCAATCGAGGTCACAGCAGGGCAGTAACAGCGTGAAATTGATCGCAGTGATTGTCACAAGGGGAAGCATCTTCTGGTTCATGGTGGGTTATCTGTGGTCGAGCTTGACACACATGGACAACACAACGACGATAACATGCTAATTTATCCTATTTGGTTTTTTTCCACTAGTCATCCATCATCGAACTAAATAGATGACGGGGTCGATTTGGCGTTTTCTTTTCGTGTTTATAGATGACTTTCTCGTATAATAGGGTCTGCATTGAAGTATGCAATATTTTCGTACTGTCAACATGATTTTGTATTATACACTGTGAATACTAATCATAACTCTAAATCAGAAACTTTTCGAGATCTGACCATTGTTATTAACTTTTTGT